TCACAGCCACTCAACTCTGCCACAGTAGGGCACAAGCAGCCATAGAGCATTCATGAATAAATGAACATGGTCATGTTCCAATAAAACTTTCTTTACAAAAACAGAAGGCAGGCCACAGTTTGCCAGTCCTGCTCCAGACCTAACTTCTGGTTTACAAGAAATATAGGCATAGAGGACAAAGTAAACAACACCAAAAGGCAATAATATGGCAGATCCAGAATGTGGGATATTCTATAAGAAAACTAGTCAGGCTTGCGGGGAGAGAAAAGACAAAGGGCGAAACTAGGTTCGAACAGGTCAAAGAGACAACACGTACCTTGAATCAATCCCGCTTTGCAAAACATTTTCGGTTGGGGGGGTGGGTAAAAAAAAAAAAAGAAAAGAAGAAATAAAAAAGAAACACTTTTTGAAGATAACCAGGAAAATTCAGGTATGACACAGATATGAAACGACATCAGTAAATACAAATTATAATCATCTCAGGTGTGAGAGTGATATCAGAAGGAAAGTCTTGACTGCTGACACATTAAGTAATAAAGTGTAATAAAGTGTCACAAAGTATGAACAGAAGTTCAAGATGCAGCATAAAACACAGCCGGATGAGGCAAACATGCCAAACGTTGAGCAGCTGAACCCAGGTGCAGCCTGCCTGATGTTCACTTGTTCAACTATTCTTTCTTTTTTTTGAGTTGGTGTCTCACTCTGTCACCCAGGCTGGAGTACAGTGGCATGTTCCTGGCCATCACAGACTTGACCTGCTGAGTTCAGATGATCCTTCCACCTCAGGCTTCCAAGTAGCCAGAACTACAGGCACGTGCCACCAAACCTGGCTAATTTTTTTTTTTTTTTTTAATTGTAGAGATGAGGTCTCACCAATTTGCCCGGCAATCTTGAACCCGAGGGCTCAGACAATTCTCTCACCTCAGCCTCCCAAAGTGCTAGGATTATAGGCATGAGCCACCACGCCCAGCCTCAACTATTATTTCAACTTTTCTGTGTTTGAAACTGCAAGGGCGGAGCAGGGGGCAGGAAGTGTGTCCAGCTGAGGAAGGTACCATAGCACCTAGGCAATGCCCATCGCCAGCATGACACTGTCTGCCCCACGACCCCGCGTCTTTCCCCAGGCTCAGGAGCGCCAGCCACGGCAGGCCTACGTGGGCCAGGCCGTGAGGACAACAGTGTCAGTCAGCCACAGCAGAGCAGAGCGGAGGGGGCCTCCCGCTTGCTGCCTTCTCGCTCCCCACTCCTCCCAGGGCTGAGGTCAGGAGTCTGGTCTCTGAGCAGTCCCAGCAGTTTTCTGTCCAGCAGCAGCAGAAAGTGCTAAGAAAAGGAGGAAGGCAGGGGCCCTCCAGCCAGCATGTCTTAGTAACGGGCTTCTCCCCAACACCAAGGGGCATGTTATCTTGCAGAAACGGAAAATGGATCCTCTCGTGCCTACTAACACACCTTGCCAGCTCCCACTGCTCCTTTTCCAAGCTTGCGAACTGTGTTCCAGGGACTGCTGAGTCAACAGCTTCCTGTTTATCATCCCCCTCAATCTTGTAACAACCCTGTGACAAACTCCAGTTTATTAAATGTCTGCCAAGCCCAGTGGGGATCCCCATCTTGAATGAAGGCCCTGGCTGAGCTCTCCAGCTTCCAAGACCTCTATACTTCCCCTCTCACAACACTCCTGGCCCCTGGATTCTCTGGTGACACAGAGGTCTGTAGTCCCTGGAATGCACAAGCTCTTTTAACTCCAGGCCTTTGCATACGCTAGTCCCCTCTCTTGAACTTTTTTCCATGATTTCTCCCTGGCCAACTTCTCTCCATTCTTCAAAACCCAGCCCAGCACTTAGGACATATGGCATCTGCTGTTCCCAATTTGTTTTTACTGGTAGTCCATGTTTTGATCCAGTTTTCTTTTCTTTTTTTCTTTTTTTTTTTTTTTTGAGTTGAAGTCTCACTCTGTTGCCCAGGCTGGAGTGCAGTGGCACGTCCGTGGTCACCGCAGCCTTGACATGCTGGGCTCAGGCAATCCTTCTGCCTCAGCCTTCCAAGTAGCTGGAACCACAGGCATGCGCTACCATGCCTGGGCTAATTTTTTTATTTATTGTAGAGATGAGGTCACTCTAAGTTGCCCAGGCTGGTCTCGAACCTGTAGGCTCAGGCAATCCTCTCACCTCTGCCTCCCAAAGTGCTAGGATTACAGGCATGAGCCACTGCGTCCAGCCTGATCCAGTTTTCAAGTGAATAACATCTCAGCTGGCTTGAGGTGGTAATTCTGTTCCCTTTAGTGGGACAACTATATTTATAACCTTGCAACAATATGCAACCAGGAATTACTGTATTGCTTTGTGTAGGCTCTTGAACTGCATGGTCAAAGAAGGTAGCCACTAACTACATGTAGCTATGTGAATCAGTTGAAATTAGCTAAAAAATTCTGTTCCTCGGTGGTCACATTTCAAATGCTCAAATAGGCACAGGTGCATACTATACAATGCAGACACAGAATATTTCCATGACGGCAGGAAGTCCTCTTGGATAGCACTGTTCTAGGGTTCTCCAGAGGGTCCACCAAAGCCTTACCCCAAGACAAGCAGAGGAGTGTTTCTCAAAGTATGGCCCAAAAGGACACGGTGGGGAAAAAAGAAAATTTCCTATTCATTATAAAGGGTTAAGATCCCTAATATATAAGAGCTTTCAGATATAAATAAGAAAAAGACCAACTACCCAACACAAAAATAGACAAATGATATAAACCTACAGTTCTAAGTAGGAAACTCGAATGGCCTTTGAGATTAAGGGGCAAAGTCAACCACTGAGAAAGAAAAAAAGTTAAAACCACCCTGAGGTGCAATTTCCCACTCAGACTGGTAAAAATCCAAATGCTTGAAAACACAAGGCTATGGGGCATTCTTAGATATCATCTAATAGAAACATCTCTCAAAATTACAAACGCATGTTCCCTGTGATTCAGCAATCCTATATTTAAGAATTCTTCATACATATTTACCTGTCTACATGTCAAATGAGATAGACACAAGCATTTCACTGCAGCATGACTTATAAGGAACCAAAGGCTGGAAAAAACACCAGTCACCATCAGTAAAGACTGCTAAATAAACAAACTAGGAAACATATATGTCCAGCTGTTTAAAAATAAAAAAGCAGTCGGTGGCTCAGCCTGTAATCCCGCGCTTTGGGAGGCTGAGGTGAGTGAACTGCCTGAGTCTGCGGGTTCGAGACCCGCCTGGGCAACTTGGCAAGACCTCATCTCTACAATAAATAAAAAATTAGCCAGGCGTGGTACCACGCGCCTGTAGTTCCAGCTACTTGGAAGGCTGAGGAGGAAGGATCGCTGGAACCCAGCAGGTCGAGGCTGCGGTGGCCGGGAGCGGCCACTGCACTCCAGTCTGGGCGACAGAGTGAGACTCCAACTCAAAATAAATAAATAATTAAATAAAATTTTTTAAAATAAAATAATAAAGCAAAACATAAAACAGATGGGGTTGCCCGGGCTGGTCTCAAACTCCTGGGCTCAAGCAATCCTCCCATCTCAGATTCCCAAAGTGCTGGGATGACAGGTGTGAGCCACTGTGCCAGGCTTCTACATATACTGAGACAGAAAAATTCCCCAAGGTACACTGTTAAGTGAAAAAAATAAGTCCAAAACAGTATGTGCACTGCTACCTTTGTGTAAAAAGAAACAAAAAAGAAACAAAAAGCAAAGGCAGCAGGGCACAAAGGTTTCTATCTGCTCTTATGACACATTGCCTTGCTAAGCTATTGTGTGGCCATGTGCTCTTTGAGCTATGGCCAGGCCATGTTTTCTTAAGTTCTGGCCCCCTCCCCTACCTTGGGGAGGTGAATCTCCTCTTTCTCTCTCTCCCTCTACTTTAGTTTTTAAATAAATTATATTTTCTAATCTAAAAAAAAAAGCAAGAGAGAACCATAAGAACAGTGATTAACTGAAGAGCAGGGAGCTGGACAAATGGGCAGAGGTGGAAGTAAAGCTTTCACAAGACATCTGGCTTTGTTGGGGTTTTTTTGAGTTGAGGTCTCACTCTGCCATCCAGGCTGGAGTACAGCAGCATGACCACAGTTCACTGCAGCCTCATAGCTGGGACTACAGGCACATGCCACCATGCCCGGCTAATTTTTTTTTTTTTTTAATAGATATGGGGTCTCACTGTATTTCCTAGGCTGGTCTCAAGCAATCCTCCCACCTTGGCCTCTCAAAGGGTTGGGATTATAAAGGCCTGAGCCACCGTGCCCAGCTGATATCTCTTTATATTGTTTGATTTTTTAACTAGATGAGTCTATATCATCTCCTCTGATTATTAAATTGATATTTAAAAATTAAAGCTCTAGACCACTTGCTTCAAAATCAATAGAGATGCTCATTAAGAACATGGCTCCCTGGCTGGGCACGGTGGCTCAAGCCTATAATCCCAGCACTATGAGAGGCCGAGGTGAGAGAATTGCCTGAGCCCACAGGTTCAAGACAAGCCTGGGCAACTTGGTGAGACCTCATCTCTACAATAAATCAAAAAATGTGCGTGGTGGCACATGCCTGTAGTTCCAGCTACTTGGAAGGTTGAAGCGGAAGGATCACCTGAGCCCAGAAGATCGAGGCTGCAGTGGCTGTGAGTCTGGCACTGCACTCCAGCCTAGGCAACAGAGTGACTCCAACAGAAAAAACAAAACAGAACGCGGCTCCCTGACCCTCCACAGATCTCCAGGTAATCAAAGACCCTGAAGCCAAATCCAACAGCCTGTACTGTTAACAAACTCTGCCTATAATTCCAATCCACCCTCAAGTCTGAGGACACACAGTGAGGTCTTCAGACTAAGAACCCCAGCGCTTCTCAGCCCCAGTTTTGGAGACTCCCACACAGAAGGGCTGTAGACTGGAAACTCCTATGTAGGGTCCCGGGGGGAATCTGTCATCTGTGTCCCTTCTCCTCATACCAGGCTTGGTCACACTCCAAGGGCAGTCACATGAGGCTCAGACTCACCTCTCATCTGGGGAGTCTACATGGAAGGTCCTCTCGATGACTGTGGTCCACTGCAGGCAGCGTATGACAAAGGTGTTGGGTCGAGGCCTCTCGGTCTTCATCAGCTGACATTCTGCAGGCAGTGGGAAGGGAAAGCAGAGAGGTGAAGGGACAGCCCTGCCACCTGCAGCCCACATTCCCCAAACCACCTCCTTGGTGCCCAGTCCCATTCTAGATGGTATTAGGAACATTCTAGTGACTGGGAAAGCCTTGGCCCTGCCCTCACAGGGTTCAAGGTCCAGTATGTGTGTGGTAGAAGATCAGACTACCAGACAGTGATGTCTTGGTGGTGAGGGCTGTGATGGGAGGAGGACCAGAGGAATGCAGAAGCTCAGACAAGGCATCCAACCCATGCTCAGGAGTCAGGCAGGGCTTCCCAGAGGAAGCAGCATCTCTGCAATAAGCCTTGAAGGAAAAAGGGGCACAGTCAGAGGGTACACCATGTACAGAAGCCCAGAGGTGAGAGTGGAGCCAACATACTCCAGGGATAGGCAATTCTGCTTCAAGGGTGAGGAGGGGCTAAGAGAGAGACAAGCTTGAGAGGTAGGCTGGGGTCAGCTAGGCAGGGCTGAATGGCCTGGGTTCCTCACCATGAATAGCCATGGTGACTGTTCTGGACTTTGTCCTCAGGGTACCAAGGAGTCATGAAAGACTTTGTAAATAGGGAAGGGACACAGACTGAGAATGAGCCCTCTGGCTGCCGTGTACAGCAGCAGACTCCAACCTTTTTGGCATCAGGGACCAGTTTCTTGGAAGACAATTTTTCCACAGACCAGGGTGGGGGGGATAGTTTATAACATTTATTGTGTACTTTATGTCTGTTATTATTACACTGTGATATATAATGAAATAATTATATAACTCACCATTTTTTTTAAAAGGCACAGATGGGAAGTAATAAATAAAATAATGGATAGGCCACGAGCAGACTAAAATAAGTGTCAGATTCTGACTTAAAGCCTGCCACCAGATGCAAATGTACAGTTGAAGTACATCGACTCACTTGCCACTCACTGATAGGGTTTTGATGAGTCTGCAAGCAACTGATTTTTCATGGTCTCTGTGCAGTCAGACCTCACTGCTAATGTTAATCCGTATTTGCAGCCACTCCCCATCACTAGCATCACTGCCTCAGTGCCACCTCAGATGACATCAGGCAATAGATTCTCATAAGGAATGTGCACCTAGATCCCTCGCATACACATTTCACAATAAGGCTTGCGCTCCTATGAGAATCTAGTGCTGCTGCTGATCTGACAGGAGGAGGAGGAGCTCAGGCAGTAATGCAAGCAATGGTAAGTGGCTATAAATACAGATGAAGTTTTAGCTTGCTCCTGGTTGTTCGCCTCCTGCTGTTTGGGGGTGGGGAGGGGTTGGGGACTCCTAGTGTAGTGTGTGAGACTGACTGGAGGCTGGGGGCCCAGGAAGGCAGGGAACCAGCTAGAGAGGACAGGGTTACACCAGAGTAGAGCCACAAGGAGGGGAGGAAAGAGCAGATAGGCAGGCCGCGGTGGGGGGGAGGACATGCAGCATAAGGCCCAGGCCTCTGGTCTGATGACTAAGAGGTTAATAGGCCATCCCTGAGATGGAGACAGGGAACTGAGGTTGGAAGAGGAGAGGAATGATCCAAAGGTCAGGCTGGGACATGGTAGGTATGAGAGACCTTGAGGACACCCAGGGATAAACGTCCAGGGAGCTGCTTGGGACAGGCTAGGAGCTCTGGTGAGAAGCTGAGGCTGGGAATAGATGTGTTGGGGTCACTGGCAAATGGGAAGAACAACCAGGAAAAGGCTTCAAGCAGAGCAGACCAGGATTGGGGCTGGATTCCAGAGCACACGGGGAGAGGATGGTGGTCTGGGCCATGGCACCAGTGGTGGTGATGGGGGTGCCTTTAAATGTTCTTAGCAAGCAGAACAAGGACATGGTGAGCCACCAGGTCAGCAGGGAAAGAAGGCAGCGGAGGGGCAGAGGGTGGGGGCAGGACCATGTTCTGCAATGCCTGGCAAGCATCTGGGGCTTGCGAAACTTCACTGAATAAAGATCGGCTGGAAGACATCGCTTCAGGTACCACAGAAAGAACAGAGGACATGCATCTAGCCCTGTGATCAGCTGAGTAGGAAGTCACGACCCTTCTAGGTTAGAGGGACAGAGGGAGGTGGCCGTTACCACAAGCACAGGACCGAAGGCACCTGAAACCAGCTAGAAACAGGATCTGGCCAGCAGGAGCCGGAGCCACAAAGAGGCGCTGCCTGAGGCTGGGTGAGGAAATGTCCTGGCTTCTCCCTCCCTCCCAGTCTCTGTCACCTACCAGGACAGTCCTGCCTGGCCCAGCTAACATGGAGAGAGAGCAAGGAAGGGCAGGAAATGAATCTGAGGGCAAACAGGCCCGGAACAGGCCCGTGGCTCAAGACTGACTGAGTCCCATGTGTCCGCAAAATCGGCCAGTCATTTTCTGAGCACCAGAACCTGGTTTGAAAGCCCTGAGACACACCTGCTACAGAGAAGTTGTTTAAGGGGGGTAAGGTCTGGTCGGGGGCCTCGGGCCTTTCCTTATATCCAATGAAGGAGCCGTCACTCTTTAGCAGGAAGTACCGGGGCCTCCAGGTCTTGATGTATTCACCTGAAATGAGGCAGAAGGGGAGAGAGAAAGGTCAGGGCAAGGTTGAGTGGTGTCCCAGGCAGGTGGCAGGCAGGCAGCCCGGTGTGATAGTGACTCACAAGGGGCACCATGGCGGGAGGAGGGTGGACAAGAATGCCTCTCCCAGAAGAGCCCTCCAAGTGGCCCTTGCTGACGTAGGCTGGGGCGCTTGGCCGGGCCAAGTGATCCACAGGTCATGCCTGGCAGGAAGGCGCCTGCAGCAGTGCCCCAGGGCACCAGCTGCTTCAGTGCATGGCCAGCAGGGAGCCATCCTTGCCAGCACGTGGCCTGGTCCCAGGGGAGGCCCAAGCTTCCAAACACACATGCCCTGTGGCCCTGTAAGGTCAAATCCCATGGGCTGGTATTCACCAATACAGCCAGGCAGGTAGATAAAATGTCAAAACAATACTGTGCCAGGTGGGAAGAGCTGCTGTCACACCCCTGGAGCACCCCTTGAGCCCTTCTCATTGTTCTGACCATGTTAATATCCATGTGCCCTGCGCACCCGCGCGCGCGCGCACACACACACACACACACACACACACACACACTCCTCAGAGAACTAAGATTAAAGAGATGGTGAAACATATGTCTACCCAAAAACGTATATACAAATATCCACAGCAGCATTAATCATAATAGCCAAAAAGTGGAAACAACCCAAATGTCTATCAACTAATGAATAAACAAACATAGTACATCCACTATGACTTTTTATGACTACTACTCAGTCATAAAAAGAAACAGATGCATGCTACAACATGGATGAACCAAAACTTATGCCAAGTGAAAGCAGCCAGTCACAAAGGGACACAAATGATATAACTCAGTTTATATAAAATGTCCAGAGTAGGCAAATCTATAGAGATGAAATTAGTGGTTGCCTAGGGTTGGGGAGGGGGTAGAATATGGGGTGAGGTTGGAGGGTGATGGCCAACAGGGCCAGGGTTTCTTCTTAGGGTCCTAAAAGTGTCCTGAAATTGATGATGGTGATGGTTGCACAAATCTGAATACACTAAAAGTCACTGAGCTGTGCACTTTAAATGGTTGACTAGTATAATCTGTGACTTATGCCTCAAAAAGGCAACCATGAATCATCCAGCTTAGGGCCTAGCACACCTAGGCACTCAATAAATGCTCTTTAACATCAGCAAAACGTGCAAGCAAAGAGTGTGCCAGGCCCTTGACGCACATGCAGAATGGCAGAGCAGGCTCTGAGCTGTTTCTGTTGTATGGGAAATACTCCAGAAATTGCTTCATTTCTGAGTCTTTGTTTCCTCTTACAAAGATATCCGTAAAATAATGACAAAGATGATCATAGTGCTTTGTGTCAGGCACTATTTTACACATCTTACAGATTTTAACTTACTAAACTTTTTCAAATGTAGTACTACATGATTCCATTACTATAAGGTTCAAAAACTAACAAAATCTCCAATTCACAGTATTTTATTATGCTTGTACACCCTGACCAAGTGAAACTTATCCTAGGAATGCAAGCGCTATTCAATACATGAAAATCAATGCAATGCACCATATTAAGAGAACAAAGAAAAAAGCATCACAATTACCTCAATTGACAAAATCAAACACTTTCATGATAAAAGCACTCCAGCAAATTAGGAATAGAAATTTTCTTCCTCAAGATGATAAAAGGCATCTATGAAAAGCCCTTAGCTAACATCATACTCAATGGTAAAAGACAGAAAGCATTCCCCATAAGATCAGAACAAGAAAAAGATGCCTGTTTTCACCACTGCTATTCCATACTGAAAAAGGCATCCAAATTGAAAAGAAGTAAAACTATCTTTATTTGCAGATAACATGATCTTATATTTTAAAAATCACAAATTAATTACAAGAGCTAATGAATTCAGCAAGATCCACACACAAAAATCAGTTGTCCTATACACCAGCAATGAACCATTATGAAAGGAAATAGCCGGGCTCGGTGGCTCAGCCTGTAATCCCAGCACTTTGGGAGGCCAAGGCAAGTGGACTGTCTGAGCCCATGAGTTCGAGACCAGCCTGGGCAACTTGGCAAGAACTTGTCTCTACAATAAATCAAAAAAAGTAGCACGCACCTGTAGTTCCAGCTACTTGGAAGGTAGAGGCGGAAGGATCACCAGAGCCCAGCAGGTCGACGCTGGGACAACAAGAGTGAGATTCCAACTCAAAAAAAAAAAAAAGAAAAAAAAAAGAAAACAATTCCAGCTACTTGGAAAGCTTAGTTCTTTTGGAGATCATTTACAATAGTCTCCAAAAGAATAAAATAGTTAGGAATAAATTTAACCAAGGAAGTGAAAGGCTTACACACCACAAAACATTGTTGAAAGAAATTAGAAATCTAAATAAATACAAGAACATCCTATGTTCATGGATTAGAAAACTTAGAATACCAAAATGGCAATCTACAGATTACTGCTATCCCTATCAAAATTCCAACAGCCTTTTTTTTCAGCAATAGGAAAGCCAATCCTCAAATTCATATGGAATTGCAATAGCTAAAACAATACTGATAAAGAATAAAGTTAAAGGACTCACACTTCCCAATTTTAAAACTTACTACAAAGTTACAGTAATTAAAACAGTGTGTAGTATAAGGATAGACATATGGACCAATAAGATAGAATTCAGAGTCAAAAAATGAACCCAGGGCCAGGCGTGATAGCTCATACCTGTAATCCCAGTGCTTTTGGGAGGAGAATCATTTGAGGCCAGGAGTTTAAACCAGCCTGGGCAACATAGCGAGATCCCATCTCTACAAAAAATACAAAAATGAGTCAGGTGTGGTGGCATGTACCTGTATTCCCAGGTACTCAGGAGGCTGAGATGGGAGGATCTCTTGAGCCCAGGAGATGGAGACTGTAGTGAGCTATAATTGCACCACTATACTCCAACCTGGATGACAGAGCAAGACCTCATCTCTAAAAAATAAAGTAAACCCAAACATCGATGGTCAACTGATTTTTCAACAAGTGGGCCAAGATCATTCAATGGAGAGAGAACAATCTCGTCAACAAATAGTCTCTTTAATAACTGGATATCTACATGCAAAAGAACGGAGGCCAGGAGCAGTGGCTCACACCAGTCATCCCAGCACTTTGGGAGGCCAAGGCAAGAGGACTGCCTGAGCCCAGGAGTTTGAGACATCATCTGGGCAAAATGATGAGACTTCATTTCTACAATTAAAAAAAAAAAATTAGCCAGGTGGCATGTGGCACATGCCGGTAGTGCCAGCTACTTGGAAGGCTAAGGCAGAAGGATCACCTGAGCCCAGCAGGTTGAAGCTGCAGATGGTAGCCATGATTGTGCCACTGTACTCTAGGTGACAAAGTGAGACTCCAACTCAAAAAAAAAAAATGGGAAGGTGGACCCCTATTACTTCACATTATGTACCATATACAAAAATTATGGATTGACCTAAACATAAGAGCTAAAATTATACAAAAAACTTAGAAGACTGAATAAGAGTAAATCCTCATTACTTTGGATTTGGCAATAGATTTTTTTTTTTTTTTTGAGTCAGGTTCTTACTCTGTCACTCAGGCTGGAGTACAGTGGCATGATCACGACTCACTGCAGTCTCAAATTCCTGGGCTCAAGTGATCCTCCCACCTCACCCTCCCAAGTAACTGGGACTACAGGCATGTGCCACCATGCCTGGTTAACTTTTTAATTTTTTTTTGTAGAGGCAAGGTCTTGCTATGTTGCCCAGGCTGGTCTCGAACTCTTGGGCTCAAGTAACCCTCCTGTCTCAGTCTCCCAAAGTGCCGGGATTACAGGCATGAGCCACCGCACCCGATCTGGCAATAGATTCTTAGATGACACCAAAGCACAAGCAATAAAAGAAAAAACATAAAGTGAACTCATCAAAATTAAAAGCCTTTATGCATGGGCCAAGAGTGGTGGCTCACACCTGTAATCCTAGCACTTTGGGAGGCCGAGGCAGGAGAATTGCTTGAGCCTAGAGTTCAAGACCCGACCAGCCTGGGCAACACAGTGAGACTTTGTCTCTACAAAAAACTAAAAACGAACAAAAAAACCTTTGTGCATGAAAGATCAGGGTCAAGAAAATAAAAAGACAACCTACAGAAAGGGTGAAAATACTTAAAAATCATATATCTGACAAGGGTCTATTATTAAAATATATAAAGAATTCTCTTACAACCCAACAATAAAAAGACAAACAGCCTGATTAAAAAATGGGCAAAGATGCTGAGCACGCTGGCTCATGACTGTATCCCAGCACTTTGGGAGGTGGAGAAGAGAGGATTGCCTGAGCCAAGGAATTCGAGACCTGCCTGAGAAACTTAGCGAGAGCTTGTCTCTACAACAAATCAAAAAGTTTAGCTGGGTGTGGTAGTGTGTGCCTGTAGTTCCAGCTACTTGGAAGGCTGAGGCAGAAGGATCACCTGAGTCTAGCAGGTCGAGGCTGCAGTGGCAGTGATTGTGCCACTGCACTGCAGCCTGGACGACAGACTAAAACTTTGACTCGAAAAAAAAAAAAAAAAAAGAAGCCGGGCTCAGTGGCTCAGCCTGTAATCCTGCGCCTTTGGGAGGCTGAGGTGAGTGGATTGCCTGAGCCCACGGGTTCAAGACCCGCTTGGGCAAATTGGCGAAAATTCATCTCTACAATAAATCAAAAAATCAGCCGGGCATGGTAGCGCATGCCTGTAATTCCGGCTACTCGCAAGGCTGAGGCAGAAGGATTACTGGAGCCCAGCAGGTCGAGGCTGCAGTGGCCGGGAGCGGCCACTGCACTCCAGTCTGGGCAACAGAGTGAGACTCCAACTCAAAAAAAAGGCAAAGACTCAAATAAAAATTTCTTCAAAGGCATACGAATGGTCAACAAGCACATGGAAAGATGCTCAATACCATAAGTCATTAGCCAAATGCAAATCAAAATCACAATGAGATACAACTTCACACACACTAGGATGCAAAATAAGTGTTGGCAAGGATATGAAGAAATTTAAACC